ACTTTCCACTACTTTAATATCTTCCCAACTCTCTTTTCTTTAATCCCTTAATCTTTAATCTATATATTTTAAATTTATTTTAAGACCCCTTTTTATTCCTCTTTTAATTTTAAATTAATATTTCATTCTTCATATAACCACAAATTAACGTCATAAGATTAATATTTGGGGAAAATGTCATATAAATCTTCTTCCCTTTAAGACAAATATCTTCCACCCACCACTGACCCCTATCTCGTGCCTTTCGTCTGACTGAAACATTGAAATGGACCAATTCTGTATTAATTTTTCGATAGGTTGATTTTTTAGCTTTCACTTGTATATTCTACTTCCCACCCTCTTCCTATGTGTATAAGCACGAACTCACTTCACAACGGGGTTGACAAGGCAGACGATCGATTTCTGCGTTTAACGAAATAGGCTATTCCCCATGTGAGGTAATTTTGAATTTTATTGTATATTTATTATACATATATGTATGTATATGTGTGTGTGCGTGGGTGCGTGCGTGTGTAGAGTAAGACGTCTTGATAATGTATTAATAGTTGTATATCTATAAATAAAACGATTTTTCAAAAACCTGTTACTTTCTCAAAGAACACTAAATATATCAGATTCTTACAACTAGATGCACGCTAACTACAAACAAGATGAGAAAATTATTAAAAAAAAACATTTGTACTAATATATCTCTCATAGATCTCAATCAAAAATAAAATTAATCATATATTATGCAAAATAAATTACAACCAATTTAATTATTCGCAATAACTGCTCTACACCAACTGATGTATTACATAAAAACAACATTATATATTAATTGAAATGTCCCTTGGGTGAATGTATCTATTTGATGCGACAACTATATATATATATATATATATATATATATATATATATATATTACATGAATCATTCATACAAAAAACAGATTAGTGAAGTTAATGATATAAATGGCGAGAATACATCTTCGCAAACAAATTTATTAAAATTACATTAACCCACGAACCTCTAGATGAATGTTGTGATCACTGTTTTTAATAAATTCAACTTGAATAAGGTCCTTTATTGCTAGTACTTTCATCTGTTCATACAGACATCATCATGCATGGAAATAAATTTGTTTTTTTTTAATACATCCAGGTAATAACGGGACACGAAAAATTAGATGTCAATCGAAATATGATTTTGGAAATGTGTTATTGTTAACTGTAAGAAATTTTGGATTGGAATATATGGAATCAAATTCTGATAACCAAAAAAATTATTCTTAAAAGAGTGCTCAATACAAAGTAGAGAAAAATGTATTTATTCAAAAATTATAACATAAACATCTTATAAAATCACTACGAAAATAGTCATTTTGTTTCAACACTTCTAGTGTTTTTGAAGTGATAGTGTTGCTTGCAATCAACACTATAGTTTGACAAAATGCCAGAATATATATATATATATATATATATATATATATATATATATATCGTATCATAGAAATGCCAGAAATATATATATATATATATATATATATATATATATATATATATATCGTATCATAGGTATCAATACTGAATAGAAGCAGTTTATTCCATGCTTAAATGTAATCATAAGGCCATGACACTGACTCTGATAGTGAGCGATTTTCACCCGTAAATTGAGTATAATTTTAAAAAATATATTACATACGAACACACAAGCACACATGGACACGGACACTCGCACACACGCACACAAGCACACGCACACACGTGCACACACACACATACACACACATACTGTTGTATCTTAGGGAAGGTTGCTAAATAAAATAATCACAGGAAGGTTTGTAATGAACGATAATACTTAGGACAAGAACAACACATATAAGATTCGCTATCGGCACGTACAAATAGTAGTCAACAGCTAGAAGTGAGTCAAGTGAATTCCACAATGAATCTCCAACTGTAGACCAACATACAGTATTTACTACTCTATTTATGTGAATGAAGACACACCCATTATCGTCTGTAGGTATGTTTACAACACACTCACATACTCACGCCTATATATATATATATATATATATATATATATATATATATATATATATATATATATATATATAAAGACAAACTGGAAAGCAACTTGTCAGCAGTCAATATACCACATAACACCCTTGTGTGGTTAGCCTTTGAGCGGGTAGAATGGAGATCAACGTGTTTTAGTGAACTCAGCAATTTTCAATCTGCTTGTCTGAAGCATCTTCAAGAAGAGAGAGAGCAAGATCTAAAAGGTCAACCAATCTAACAGTGATCTCATCTCACAATCCTCACACTTGCTCCATATGTGGCCTCCACTGTAAATCACTAGCGAGTCTTAAATATCACTTAAGATTATGGCACAAACTTACATGACTGAATCAAAAAGCTGTCAGATCCTCATACGTCGAAACCGACGGGAGAGTCCATTAGATAGATAGATAGATAGATAGATAGATAGATAGATAGATAGATAGATAGATAGATAGATAGATTTATGGAATGTGACAGTCAAGGAGAATTTCATAAGTTTTTATATTCAGTTTATCTAATTTTCTTAGAGTTTAGATAATTTATGACCAGTTAGAGTGTGCCGAGAAGCATTTCAAAGGCACCTCAACATGGATTTACTACTACTCCTGTACAGAACATTTGAATACAGAAACATGTACTAACAGCGTACGCCTTGAAAATAAGAAATGCATTGGCCGAAGTGCTACGGACAATAATAATAATAATAATAATCACTAATAATAATAATAATCACTAATAATAATAATAATAATAATAATAATAATGATAATAATAATAATCACTACGAACAGTTTCTACACTTTCTTCATTTAAAGTAAAAATTAAAGAACATTGGAAAAAGCGAATAAAAATCTTATAAATTTCACCTTTTCTGTCGCTTTCAAAGAAACATGTATAAAAGAAAGTCTGTTGCTGAAATATAAAATATTTATAAAGTAGATATATGACGAGAGAAGAGAAGCTTTTTCTTGCTATATAAACCTTAATTTTAAAAAAAAATCATTCAATCTCCCTTGAAGCAATCAGCTATAAATAACAAGCACAGGATTTGATTAATTTTCACTTGGTTTTGCTATAGACTCTGACAATCGACAGAAAACAAAAACAACTCGCCATATTTTAAAGAATTTAAATGATGATTTGTAAATCTTTTCTTTTAAGACAAAGATAATTTATTACATGAAATAGACATTTATCAAACAAATCTTGAGAAAGAAAACATGCCACATATTTTGTAAATATTTCGAAACTCTCCTGAATAAATCAAATTACTCGGGATCATGAGCAAAATGAAAAACGCTAATGTTTTCAACGGTGTTTTCATTCTCCCTTTTCGTTTTCTTTTCTTTTTCAGGTTCTTATGAAATCATGGAGATAGCATCTGTTCTCCTGATAAAGTCAAGCATAAGCCATCGTAAATTCCTCAAATCAGACCGAGTGTGAAAGGAATAAAGATGAACAAGGACTTAGCATCACTTCTCCGTAAATTATTAATCTCGCTTTAGAAAGCTTGATAAAAACAAATTTGAAAATGAGGTTAAAATCATACATATATATATACTCGACACTCTCCTGTCGAATTCGAGATATGAGAGTCAAGCATATCAGTTCCTAGGAAACCGACAGCCCGACAACGGCACATGAAATTTGATTATGGTATTTATCAATCCACCCACGTGGATCGAATGTGGCACAAGGCCTTTTTAATGTGGGTATCTCTGAGCCCGTAGGCCCAGCCAAAAATAAATAACTATCCAAACCCGCCGAGGCGGGCCAGTTCCGTCAACCTCCCCCAACGTAACCCTACCCTTCGGCGGAGCTTCGTCCGGGTTCCTCTCTGCAAGCAGAGAGTTCGACAGACACCCGACCCGGCAGCTCACAAAGCGCAGATACTACACTTTGATCCTAGCCACCGGGCCGAGCGGGTATTCTGCACTGCGGGTAATCGATTGCACTTTATCATGAGATTTGATTATAGTGGTGAATGTTTCGTGCAGGACCGTCTACACTTTTTGAAGGGCCAAATACAGAGACCTGTTGCACTACGTGCAAACGACCCTCCGCAGGTTTTGAATTTGGAGTTGTCCTTCTGGAGGGAGAAGAAGAGGATTCACACCTTTCAAGTGCTGGGATTATAATATTATTTTTTTTATTTCTACTTATTAATAGTTTGGATCGACAACGTTTTTTTTTTTTTTAATTTTCAGTATCGCACGAGACATATTATTGGAGTAAAAAAAATTAAAAAGGAATGTAGTTTAATTTTGAATTTGAATTTAAGCTTAGATTAACTTTTAAGATTGAAAAGAATGTAAGAGATAAGAATCGTAAATTCTACATTAGGGACGCTAGTTTTGAAAACGTAAATAAACAAAGAAGTGGCGCTAGGAAATAAAGGTGGGGGGTAACTCTATATGTTTTTACTCGTAAACCTACGTATATTTATTTACCCATTCGGCTATATATATATATATATAGATATATAAATATATAAATATATAAAGGTACACCAGAAGTGTTGAAAAGGTACACCAGAAGTGTTGAAACAAAATGGCTATTTATGTAGTGATTTTATAACATATTTGTTATATTTTCGAATAAATAAATATGTTTGCTCTACTTTGTATTGAGCCCTCTTTTAAGAATAGTATTTATTGGTTATTGAATTTATTCCGTATACACCAATCCCTATACTTATATATATATATATATATATATATATATATATATATATATATATATATATATATATATATATATATATATATATATATATATATATATACATACCCAAGTATAGAATTATTTTTATTACCACTCAGGATAATAGATTAAAAAAAAGTAAAACTGAAGAACAGGTTAGCTAACCGGTTTCGAACCTCGCGCAACAGAGCTAAATCGAAGTTTTTGGGGGTTTTTTTCCCATTACATAGTGATAATTCTGTTTAATTTATTAACCTTTATGGACCAGTCTCCTATTTTTAAATACTTTATGAGAGTTTTTCGCGTTGAATAGAAAATAATTAAGCTACTGGAGGAGTTTAAATGTATTTTAAATGTATTTCTTTCCTTTATACTGAGGGATATAAATTATGAGTGCTCTAAAATAGAATCCTATAATTATTCTGGATTTTATTTTGCTGTTATGATGAGAATAGAAATTTATGAGTTCATTTTTATTACAGTATTTACATTAGTCGGACTATTGTCCTCATCTTTGTCGCCATATCTGTCACAACGTTTCGGCCGTTGTACGCTCCGGCCTTCTTCAGGTGGTTGGAATTTCGAACTGAACCCTTTATTTCGATCACCGGGGTAGACTGTTCTAATTCCACGTGCCATGTTTGATGGATGTCAGTTATCAGTTATCTCCTGCTAATTTTCCCTCTGAAAGTTCTCCACTGCCTTAACCAGGAATTGAACTCACCTTCTTTGGGTCTGTCACTGGATCTAACCAACGCCTTTATCCACTGTGCCATGTGTCCTCAGAAATATAGACAGATACTGAAAGGCCGAAACTTTGTAATAAATATGGCGACAAAGATGAGGACAATAGTCCGACTAATGTAAATACTGTACATAATACCTCATCTCAGAAATATAGACAAACTCTCATTTTTATTAGTTGATTTGCGATGGACAGTTAGTTTCAGTCTATTACTAGTACGGTGTAACATAAAATCTAAGAAAGGTAAAGTGTTATTTTTTTCTGCTTCATAAGGGGATTCAATCATATGTTCGACTTTGTTTAGTTTAACTACAAGATGAGATAATGTTGTTTTGCCGGGATATTTTTAATAGAGCGACACCAATGTATAGAAATTATGTTATTTACGTAAAATAGTCTGGAAAGGATCAGATTCGTGAAATTCTAAAGAAATGAATAATAATGAAGAGAGAAGGAATAGATTAATGTCTTTCCCAAGAGCATATTTGCGACGTGAAGACAACCAACTGGATGTGAGTTCTTTGATACTGACATAAGCTTCGTCATGGGCCGTGATTGCAGATTCACGTGACTAACCATTTTGCAACAGAAGAGGTTAATTCGTGGGCAATCTTGAACCTTCGTGTTACCTCCACCTCGAAAAATAAAGCAACGCTATTATTTTAACTACCTTCACTCCCCCGTAATGTTTACTGCAACAAAATTTGCAGCAAAAAATAGTAAACACTATTTATTTATTAGATTGTTTATTAACAAGAATAGTATTGTATTTATATTCTAAAAACTGATACAATTAAAACTAATGCAATGCAATATTTATCATTTACGAATTGATAAAGAAATAAATATGAAAACAATTTTGTATTCATAAATCAATAAAATATGGGAATCAATTGGCAATTAGACAATGTTTTGCCAACCATTCCAATAAACAATAAATAGTGTAAATATAGTGAATGAATAGTGTTTAAAATATTTGTTTTTAATTCTCAGGAACGAAGGATATGTATAAATTCAATTTCATCATATGTTTAGGTTTTATTAAAATTCTTATCATCCCCTTTTAAAGCGCGTCCTGTGTATGACGATAAACTACATCGGCGTCCTGGGTATGACGGTAAACTACATCCGCGTCCTGGGTAAGACGATAAACTATGTCCAACAGCAAGGCCTCTGATCAGGAGGTTTCGAGGAGCGTGGAACCACCTCTTAATTTTTGCTGTTCCCAGGTCCACCCTAACCCGGGGTGGTAGCACCTGTTAGGGTCCCAGCTATGGGCAAATAGTTAACACTCAGACTACATCCGCGTCCTAATAATACGTTTTTGGAAAAAATAATGTTGCCAGCTGTATGTTTTTGAAAAACTATTATTAGCTATACGTTTTTTTTTGTTTTGTTTTTTGTTGTTTTTTTTTTAAAGAATAGTGTTGCCGGCTATACGTTTTTGAAAAAATAATATTACCAGCTATATATTTTTCAGTAAAATAAATTAACAGAAATTGATTTTTCACAAAACAAAAATATTACCAAGAAAAAAAAAATGTTGTCGGCATTAAATGAACCATTGAGGTTGATATGCCGTAAAACAAACCAAACCAAACCAAACCAAACCTTTTTTAAAACTATAAACATTGCCGTGGGAGTGAAGGTAGTTAAACTAATAGCGGTGTCAAGGGAAAACCGTCCTTTTGACACTTGTCATTTTTGCAGTCACGAAGGTCCAAGCTTGCCAGCTCATGTATATCTACAATAATGAGAGAAGGGTTGCATTCTCGGAGAGAATCCTTGCCTCGTACGACTTTTGGAACCAAATCTCTCTCCAGACCTCAACTAGAATACGTTTCCTAAAGATGGTGGGAAAAAGGTCGGTTCTTGTGATGCTTAAGAACGTAACTGACTTTACATTTCATTTCACGTGCCGTGTCCTTTCTGGATGTAGGCGATCATGGCTCTCCACTTCCCCCTATCCTTTGTAGCTCTCAATAAGTTTCGTCCCTCTGCCACTCCCCCGGGCCATGTTCTGTCATCCACTTGCTCAAGCCCGC